CGGTTCGAGTCACGCACGCAGTACGTGTTTACTATAATTTAACGTAGTCTTTACCTTGCCGTTTATTCGGTGTTATTTGCTTACTTTACTTTCTATGTCAACAGCAACTATGAGTTTAAAATTATTTCTCAGTACTTATTCACTGTTACAATGCTGTACCATTACTTTCACCATCCTACTACAGCCAGATCTGAAGGCCTTTGCCGCATTCTGGCCATGCTGTGTGGCGCGTATCGCGTGGACGGGTATCATGTTCTCTGCACGTAATAAGCTCGGTTATTAAGCATCCTTTATTGGGGATGCCCGGTGGCCGACTGGAGGGGAAGACGTGTAGTGGCATGAAGCTAGGCGATTTGGTGCCGTACGCGAGCGCCGGTTCGAGTCACGCACGCAGTACGTGTTTACTAGAATTCGATGTACAGTATTATTAAACATTGATTGATTCACTAACTAGATTTAACTATATATTCCAAAGGTAGTGGTTTCAAAGGACTATCTATCATTGTGATTGCAATTCGATTGCATTGCATTAGCGGTTGCTCGGATCGCTTCTTCGTGAACAATATTAGTATACATTGATACGACATCCATGGTTACTAAAACGTTATTTTCAGATACTTGTATTTTTTCGATTTTGTTAATAAAATCAGTAGTATTTCTGATGTATGTATGTTGCTTTTTTAACGTTTAAAAACTTTTAACTTTTAACGCCTTTTAAAAAGTGGTCGATCAATTCTAATATTTTCTCTGTCGGACCAGAGCAACCCAATACTGATTATTGGTCTACCGACGAGTATACTGCCCTCTTGTGGTAGTTTGTGTACTTTAGGCAGTAAATACCAACGGGGCGTTCTAACTTTGTAGTTAAATGGGTCTGTATATTTATACGCGTCGTAATCTATTAATTCCAGATTGTACATTTCTGTGACGAGCTTATGGATTAAATTAGTTGTAACTATAGTTGTTAGCACTAATTTTAGTATAGTATTGCTCGTTGTTTAGTTGACGAAGGCTTTTATATATAGTCAGTTGTATTCATGATTGCAATGCCACGACCTTTGTCGAATGGTTTTATTACAATTGTGTTATCATGATGTAGTCTATTTATTGCTGTTCTTTCGGCAGAATTCATGTTTTGTTTGGGTTTGGGTAATTTTGGATATCTCAACTTTGGTTGCCTCAGTGTAATTTTCGAGGTTACTGTTATGCGAGTCTGGTGGGTTCCATGTTGATTTCATTTTGAAAGGATGTTGTTGAGATTGTTTATTACGCATTAAATATTTGATACGCATTCTCCTAGATAGCATAGACATGTCTCTGAGTAAAGTGTGATAGGTTGGCTTAGGTGGGGTTGGTATAAATTTGAGTCCGTTGCCAAAGGCAATGACCTCTGTCGGGGTTAGAATTTTACTCGAAACATTCCGAATAGAATTTGAGACGAACTGAGCTTGAACAGCCAACCGTTTAGCCAGTTTTGCATTGTATTTCTTTATTCCTATGCATCTTACAATGTGTTTCTTACGTAATAAGTGTCTATTGCGTTTTGTGTTACTGATTGTATGGACAGAGTCCATAGTAATAACGTTAGTTCAGTCTCTTTTGGGAGGATGTGGTGGCCCGTTTGGTTTGGGTGCCGAATCACTGGTTTATTTAAGGTTTCCTGCCCTTTCGGGGGTCCTGCACTCGTTTCTTCGGTTGTTTGAGGAATTGCCTTAGTTTTTCAACAGCCAGAGCCTGATGTTCTTCTCCAGCCAGGCGTTTGATATCTGCAAACGCTTCCTTCTCCCCCTTTACCAGAGAATGGTCCGGAATTTTTTCAGGTGGGTTGGTAAATAAATGTCGAATTAGTGTACTGTTTAGAAGCTTGGTTTGGAAGATCGTGGTTTGGAAAAGAGAAGACATTATACATTGTACAAGTCATCTACTTTACTTAAAATACTGAAGAAAAAAAATAAAAACAACTGTTGAGTGAAAGGTCTGCTGAAAAAATATCCATATCAGATAAGGGAGAAAAAGTAGGCTTCATTTCAATCTTCCTGCCCCCCAGGATATCATATGGTCCGCCCCTAATACCCTAAAATGGAAATCCTTAAATATTTTAATGTGCTTTTGAAATATAACCTACCTAATTTTATTTCGATTTTTTAGTACACGCGTGTGAATACTTAGTACTTAAAGTGGGAGGATCGTCCCCTGCGCATGCGTGGGAATTGGGTCCCAAGCGATGATAACACACGCCAAGATCGCAAAGGCTTATGGGTAGACGGTTTCGAAAGTTGCGTAGTGGACGTTGGTGTGCGGCTGTCTTTAAAACCGGACCTCGTGAAACACGATTCCACGAATCAATAGCGCCACCAGCGATATGGTTTAGGATATGATTTCAAAAATACAACAAATGTTACCAAAAATTACCATAAATCGGAGTTGTTGACGAGATGCATATTTGCTCGCCGGTTTTTAAGACAAACAGTCTTGTATATATCTGAACTCATGAAACGTAATTTCCCGGGCCGAGTATGTCAATGGCGCCGTCAGCGTTACAAGTCGTGTTTCAGAGAGTAGATCCTGAAATGAATAAGTGATTGCAATTTCATAATGTGTTTGTTTCTAAAATTAAACAACTTTACCTAAATATGTAGGGCCAATGCGAACACTGGTGTTCTCACTGGCCCTACAACGGTGTATTTGTAATCTGTGTGAACCAGGTATCAAGTTTGATCGTCTACATTTCACGATACAAAGAATAGGGTGTCATATTTTTCAGTCGTCATTCTATATCTATATGATCAGTTTGCTTTTTCAAAATTAACAAATATGAATATGAAATTATAAAAATAAGACACGTAAATTGCGCACTTCACTGACCGAGTAATGCAAACATCATAACTATTTTGTGTACGTCACTATGATTTTTTGGTAGGTAATTAAAGCGGGGTGTCGTCATCTGCACATGCGTCAGATGGCCATAGCGTGTCATTGTTTACAAACAAGCGTCAAACCATGAGCCTTTGCGTTTTAAGTACGCGTTGTTATCGTTGGTTGGAACTCAATTCTCGCGCATGCGCAGGTGACGACTCCTCCACTTTAATCTGACATAG